AGTGAAGGGGGAGGGGGGGGGGGGGGAAGTTGCTTATCCAAAAAGTACCCTTCTTTTGTTGCTAATTCCCATTTAATTCAATTATCATCTTTCTTCTCTTCCTTTGTTGGATTTTCTTCTTCGCTTTCCTCTTCTTCAGGCCCTTTTTCAGAAATAACAGTCGCTTCTTCAAAATTATTTCCTTCATTTCCATAATTAATTTGTGAATTAACAGATGAAGCCCCTTCTCGATTATCAGCTTGAACCGGCAAAACTTGTCGAGTTCTCATTTCTAGACGGTATTTTTGTTTCCTTTCTCGCATTTTTTCTCTATTCTGTTCGTAGTATTTTCGATTATATTCACGACGTCTTGCATTATTCCTTCGGTAGTAATCTTGATAGTATTTTATTTTTCTATTTCTACTAAAATATAAATTTGAATTATATTTTAAAAGAACGGATATAGTATAGTATACCGGAGTCAAAATTTCGATACAAAACACATACCATTCGATTCGTCTCGACGAGCTGAGTCGAGTGGTACCACTCTCTATTCACGGAAATGCCTGTGAACCGAGATATAGGTCCCCGAAAATCGAAAAACCACAGGGGGGAGTAAGCATATTTTTGGGGTGAAAAATTCGAATATTCAAATAATAGCTCATTCGAAAGAGCTCCTCGAGCTGAGTCGAATGACACCAAAATCAACGAAATCCGACTTAATTGGACCGAGATATAGGCCCCTAAAAACCAAAAATCCAAAGGGGCGATTTTTTGAATAAAAAATTTTTTATACAAATAATACCTCATTCGAAAGAGCTCGACGAGCTGAGTCGAATAACACAAAAATCACCATGATTGAACAAGATTAGACAAAGTTATGACGCAAAAAACGAAAAACCTAAACCTATGGAGCGTCGGCGAGGCGCTTGTGCAAAACCCCGCGCTTCGCGCGGGGTTTTGCGGCACGCGCCTCGCGGGGAGTCTACGGGCGCTGGGTCTGGGCTCGTAACATAAACCTATTCCTATCTCACTTGCGCTGGACGTATTTGGGGCCTCCGTAGCAGCAAAAATCTCCACAGATGCCATAGTTAAGGAGCTAAAATAAAAGATCATAACTTTGTCAAATCAAGTCGGATTTCGTTGATTTTGGTGTCATTCGACTCAGCTCGAGGAGCTTTTTCGAATGAGCTATTATTTGCATATTCGAATTTTTCACCCCAAAATTGTGCTTACTCCCCTCTTTGGTTTTTCGATTTTCGGGGACCTATATCTCGGTTCACAGGCATTTCCGTGAATAGAGAGTGGTACCACTCGACTCAGCTCGCCGAGACGAATCGAATGGTATGTGTTTTGTATCGAAATTTTGACTCCGGTATACTATACTACAGCCAAAAGAACAAATCGTGTCTAAAATTGGGTTAAGTAATCGAATTTAAGTAATAAAATATCTTAGCGTATTCACTATATTAAAAATAAATAATTGTTAAAAAGGCAGCTTTTCCCACTTTCTAAAACGAGAAGTATCTAAAAAGGGGTAATACTAAAAACCGAAATCCGGCTAATTATGAAAGAAAAGACTATTAATTTGGCTGTGTTTTTGCACATTGCTCTACGACCTCATTTTCAGCTGCCGGACCTCATTTTTTGAATCCGATGGATTCGCTATAGTGAGGTCCATTGCTGGATATTGGGCATTTGTTGGCTCCGGCTCCGAGCTTTAAAACTTTTAAATTAGGGCTCCGTCTTTCAAAATCCCAGCTCCCTGAGCCATACCCAGCACTAATGAGGTCCAACTGTATTTAGTCTCTTTCAATGTTAATTACAGCACAAATTTCACTTAACCTTCGAATAAATTCCAACCTTTCATTTTCTTTTTTCTCCCTTTCAATTTCCCTCTCTTTCTCTTCATAGTAGTCTTTAAATTTATTACTTTTACTTCCTATTTCACGTCCAAATAGGTCTTTTATTTTATTTTTGTTAATTTTGGGTTTTGGCGCTTCATTTTGACTTTCCGTTTTACCCGACGATTCAGGCTCATCATTCGATTTTTTATTTTTATCTTTTGGGTTAGAACCAGTTTTCTCATTTAAATCTTTTTGGTCTTCATTTTCCATTGAAGTAATTAAACTCCATAATATTCCATTGAATATTAGGAGGATTAAAATATTACTAATTTTCATCCTAAATTACCGTTTTTACTAGAGAGGGGGCTGGATCTGGATCCAGACTTTGATTTTTTCTTGACTCAAGGTCAATAAACTGGTCAAGGTACCCAACTGAAGTCAAGAATCAAGGTTTTAGAAAGGCTAATTATAACTATTTTTATGAAGGCAATGTAAAGCATATAGCTATTAATTTCCTAAGGCTGAGCAGTAGGCGGCGTGGTGTGCTAACACATCAGTCCGGTCTACTGAAGATGATGGTTCGCTCCCAGCCGCCGAATAACCTTTTGCACTAGCTAAAGGAGAGAAATAGCTATAGCCCAGCTGCTTTACTGCAATTACTGTTTCAACCTCTGGCTCTACGGGATAAGTAATAGGAAGAGGGGAATTATTTGAGTAAATAAGATAAAAGAAAATATTTGCTTAAAAATTTCTTTATATTTTTGTTTTTTTAAATAAAACAATTTTAAAAGAGTAATTTTGTTTACATGAATGCCTTTATCTTACTCGACTAATAATTATGAAATGGGTGATATGGATTTATAGGCTGTAAAATGCCGACAAAGTTAAAGAATATTAGATTTATACATATGTAGTCTGAGAAAATAAAAATAAAATATTTTTTTGCACTTTTCTGTCAAAGATAGCCAATACATAGCAATACATCCTGGTAGCCAATACATAGACTGACATTGAGGGCACTACTAGATTATTAAGCAATTTTTTCTATTTCTAATTTTGATCATTTATAGGGCAAGTTGCTCTGGCAAAAACCTATAAGGAAAAACAGATGGAAGAAGAGAGAAAAGTATCAGAAGATAAAGAAATTGTCGAAAATGAGGAAAATCAACAAATGTAAATTTAATAAAATTGTTGAAAATTTTTATATTTTAATAAAGTTTATTTAAATAATTTTGTTTTATCTCTTATTAATTTTTTTATACAAATAATAATTTGAAATATTTATACTTTTATTTCTAAGAACTAGCGGAGGAAAATAATGTAATAATTTAATGATAGTGATTTTTAGGGGCATAAAAAATATGGATATAAACTAGAGTTGATCAAGTTTAGGGGTAATTATCATTTCTTTGAATTTTATTAGAATTATTTCTTGTAGTCTACAATTAATCTAAAATATCATATTTTATGCAAACATTATTTAATTAAAATTTAAAAGAATATAGTTAAATTTAATTTAATAATTTTTTTGTTAATATTTTTTAAGTTGTTTTACTAAATTGTTTTACTAATAATTTTGAAAAGTAATTAGTAGCGCTCCCTAATTGTTGTCCTTGTGTTGTTGATTGACCTTTAACTCAAAGAATTTAAAACAATTTATAGACAAATTTAAAATATTTTTTTTTCAAAATTTATGGAATTTTATTAATAATTATTTTAGAATATTTTAAATAGTTATTGTTTTGTTAAATTATTTTTAAATTAAATTAGGATAATTTTTGAGGTCAACAAGACTTCTCAGCTCTTTTGCGAATTCTTCTACCTTCTCAATTAACATTACTTAATTTTATTTAATTTTTTGAAATTTTAATTTATTAAATTACTGTCTCCTAACGTTCCTTTTCTTAGTTAATTACCAACATTCTTCTATATTTTATCTCACTTTATAAAATAAACAATAAATAAATTTTATTACATAATTATTCAACTTCTTAATATTCTCGTTATTATGCTCTAAATATTCAATTTCTGTGATTATATACATATAATTATGTAGACATAATATTAGATTAATTTTTGTTGTTATTCTCATTTATTTTCAATTAACAATTAAAATAAATATAAAACGCTTAAAATAACAATAATATTAAACAAGGCTTTTTTGATTATTTACTGAAGTATTAATTATCAACAGATGCAAATGGAATATTCCGAGTGGAATAATACTCATGCAAATGGAATAATACTCATGTTTATTTTATTTTTCTTTTAATGTACGTCAAAATATTTTTTTTCGAATATAAAAAATTAATCTATTGAAATTTTTATTTTCAAGTTTGGTGAATTAATAGCTGGGGGATAAGGATAGAGAGGGATATGGATGGATCTAAAGTATGTATTATTATTTAAAATGAAAATATATACATATTTTATTTAGTTAAATTTATTTGTGATATCCAGTGATTTATTTAAATTAATTTACACCACACAATGTTAAACATATTAATATAAACTAGAGCTGTCCAATAATCATGGTCTTGTGTCTTAACTCGAGACTTTTCTTGGGGTTTTTTCGGTCTTGGTCTTGCGACGCTAAATATCGAAATTTTTGCCAAGTATTTTATTTAAGTCTTATTATATCTTCTATAAATACCTCAACATTATAGGTCCTTTTGTCTAAGGTACGAAAATAAGCCAAAAATTTGCTCTAAGGGAACAAAAAATGTCTCGAGTCTTGGAAAATTTTCGGTCTTGGACAGCTCTAATACATATACACATAATTTCGACGTTTAAACTTTAGGTTTCCCAAAAAAAGCTCCCCAAGTTTCGATCTTGCATTCATCACTTCCTTGAGCAATCATAAATACACCATTCATTCCCCAGTCTTTTCCCCATGAATTGATAGCAAGCCAAAATGGTTGGACTTTTCCTGAACATGTTTGAGTTCCATACCCAATTATACGAATTGCATGCCCTAGTGGGTTTTTGTTTGTCGTTCTCTTAAATTTTATTAAGTTGATATTCATAAATTGAAAACTTTGACTCTTGAGAAATTTGAGGTTTTATATTACCTTATAAACTCCTTCACCATAGTGATAGAAATCATCATAAACATCCATTACACCCGTAATTGGACCGTTTGCTTTAATTTCTGCCTTCATTATCTTAACTGCTTCAGAAATAGCCATATTCGGCAAAATCTGACCAGTTGATATAACTAAAGTATATTGAACGTAACAAATTGCCTACTATACTTAATATAATACCAAATTTTTTATCATTATTATATTGAATTGGCCAGTTTGAATTAGTACATTTCGAGACACATTTAGGTGTAGGAATTGGACCAGGAGTTGCTGGATTAATGGAATATGGTTTGCAACCGGTCTTTTGTTCGAAATTTGATCCAGATACTACACCACTATTTTTCATGTATTGCCAAGCATAGTAGGGAGATCCACCATTACATCTAGATTTAATTTAGTGGTATAAATTAATTTTAAGCCACTAACCCGCTAGTCGATGGTGTGCAACTAAGAATTTCCTCATCAGATGATTGATTATCAGGATCAGAGACTGGCGTTTTTAAGCCTTTCTTAGCTCTCTCAATACAGTACCGATCAGTAAACGTAGATGAACTTGCAACTGCCCAACAATCCCCACATTGGCCTTGATTTCTAACAATGTTAATTATATCTGCACATTGTGGCCATTGTTTTCTTGAATCAAATTCGATATTGTAAGTACAGGAGGGATTTGAACGCTTTGATCGTATTTTGCTGTTTGTTTTAAAATTTGGAGTAGATGCAGAAGCTTTGGGTGATTCCGAGTTTACACCACAAAATAGTTTTCTGGTGTCCGTCGTCATATTTGCAAATTTCTCGTTAAATTTTGCCTGAATAAAATTATAAAAATTAATTTTTATTCCCAAATTACCTTCCAAGTAAAATCTTGTAAATTAAATGATTCAACGAAAGATTTAATATCTTTATCGATATCAAAGTCAAAATCAAATTCCTTTTCAAATAAATCAAATTCATCAGATTGAAAGGTGTTTTGTATTAGAGAAAACAATACAAAGCAAAGTAGACAAGGAAAATTCTGAAACAATTTGAATTATTATTTGGTATAAATCATAATTGTTATGGTAGCGAGTTTAGTATAAAGGTCAGCCTTTTACCAGATTTTTGATAAAGTGAAAAGATTAGCCGGCAACTTTCAGCTGAATAGCTGGAAACTTTCAGCAAAAGATTTCCATAGCCTTTTTAAAGCTTAGTCCATCTTACTTCCCAACGGTTTTATCAAGAATTAACTAATGGCTCTATAATTTAAGCTTAGATAATGGGGCTTAAAGCTATCTGTGATTGTCTAATGGTGTTCTTATATTTTAAGAACTTCCATTACTTTGAACAACTATTGCTCTTCACAATATGTAAATCCATAAAAATCCGGGCTCTACTTATAACTATAATAAGTTTTCGACACTTTTTCAGCAATATAAAAGCTATAAATAAAATAAGTATACTCAATGGTATTTCTTGGCTTATCTCCCACATAATCGGCAATCAACTATTAAAAACATCTTAAACCTGTTTTAACTATTATTGTGTGAGGGTTTAATAATTTTAAAAATTATAGTAACTAACCATATTTTAATGAGGAATTAAATAAAAGCTGGCAATAATTATGTTTATACCCTTCAGTCATTATAATATTTATAAGCTTATGTTTAGCCAAAATGCAACGTGGTTTATGGTAAACGATTTAAAATTTTAAACTAAAAATAGATGATCAAATAAAAAGATATACATACGTAAAATAAAAAATTTTTGTTATAATTTTGTGTTCCATGAGATTTTCGTTTGTTTTAGTAAAAATTAAGGATAATAAAATTTATCGGCACTATATGAAAGGAGGTCGATAATCGTTTTTTTTCATAACTTTTTTCTATTACTTTTTTCCTTCCTTAATTATAAATAATGGTCAGTCTTTTCTTCCTCGTTCAATTCCACTCTTTTTACCTGTGGCATATTCAAATGAGGACAGACAAAAACACACACACACGGACAGACAAAACACGAGTGTTTTCTGTCCGAGTCTGTCTGTGTTTGTCTGTCCGAGTCCGTCCGTCTTTTGTCCGTCTGTGTCCGTCCGTGTTTGTCTGTCCGAGTCCGTCCGTTTTTGTCTGTCCGAGTACGTCCGAGTTTTGTCTGTCTGTGTGTCGACACAAAAAGAAAACAGGAGACCCTTGAAAGTATTAATTGCCTGTATTGAGTCATTCTCCTTTCCATTAATTCTTTTCTCTATCATTTCTTTTGATTATGCCACAGGGAATATAATGGAATAGAACAAGGAGGAAAATGCTGACCATTCTGTCATATCAAGGAAGGAAAAAACTAATGGAAAAAAGTAATAAAAAAAAACGATTATCGACCTCCTTTCATATAGTGCCAATTTATCTTAATTCTGTCATGTCAGCATGTTAAAGGAAAAATGAAGATTAAACATACCTTTTAAAACGTGGAATATACATAATTGGCGTTAAGGAGATTCAGTTAATGCTAAGGCTAATGGGAAATAAAGAGAGAATTTTTTAAAATTTTTACCAATCTTTTTAAAAAATTTCTTTTTCTCTTTTTCTTTTTTATGTGGTAATTTCGCACATATTCCTTCTTATAGTAATTTTAGTATAACCCAGGGCTTCGATCTCGAATTTTTAAAAATCCACAATTTTGATATGTATAAAAAATCCACATTTTATATTAAAAATCCGCAAACAATTATCAAACACAAAAATAGAATTAAAATAACTTTATGCGTTATTTTTGACGCCAACAATTGAATTTAGCATTTTTTTTCACTACTAATGACTACTATCTTATTAAAATTCGAACAATTAAATGAAAAATTTCAGTTGACTTGAGCCAATGCTTTCACCGTCCCTAGTTATAGTGAATTGTTTTTTTCTCAATTTTGGAAGATCCTCCTAATTTTCAAAGGACCACAAAAATCCGCAAATCCGCATTTTTAAAAATAATCCTCATCGACTTATCAAATTATTTTAAAGTTTAATTATTTTAAATTTTTAAAATTCATAAATTAATATAAATTTAAATATTGATAAAATACATAATTAAATTAATTATTTATATTATATATTTTGAATACCAATGTCGTTTTCATATTATTTTATTTTTAAATGTCTTTTCTGCTCACAAATAATACTTGGGTGTTGACGTTATCTTTAACGTATTTATTTTGACCATATTTATCTTTAACCATATTTATTTTGATTATAAATATACCGTAATTATTATATAAAAATTAAATAATTTTTGTTATTATTTTCATTTTAAATGATTATTTTTTCAAATTAAATATTAATTTATTATTTTATTTTGTTTAAATCAAGTAGATAAATTAACCAAAATCTTTTCATTATATGGAATCATGTTCTTCCTTCAGAACATTTCATGCTCTAGACGATCGGCAATTTCCAGTTCATTTCATAAAATAACTTTTATATAAATTTGATTTCAATCTTTTATACATATTTTTGTGACTTTCCAATCTGACTTTATTCTCAACTTCTAATGATGGTCCAAATTGTTCAGATATATATCCATTACTGAAGTATAAATAGTATATCACTCTTTGTTTTATTTAATAAATTTGTTAATATTTTATCAATACTTAAGTATATATCTCGCTTAGTTTCATTTAATTTCATTAATTAAACTTTAAATTTTATTTTTTTAGTGTTATCCAAGTAATTTGATCAATAAGTAGTAAAATGATAATTTTAAGTAATATGGTCTTTTTGTTCATTTTTAGTCTGAATTTTTTTTATAGTGACAAGATGTTATAATCGTCATAAATTACTATAATACTAAAATGTAAAAATATTATTTTAAATTCTTTTTTATAAAATAAATTAGTTTTTAATATATTCAAATTTTTAAATATTCAAAAAAATTTTTTAAATATATTCAAATATATATTTTTTTAATTTAAAAAAAGATAAGTGTGTTTAAAAAATAGCCCTATGAATTTCCATCAGTCTTCTTTCGAGACTCTGATGAGATCTATTCCGTGAAGGGATCGTTTAATATGTTAGTACAATAGATCGCTCTATGATTCAAGTTATTAAAGGATATTATCAAGACTATTTTCTTACTTTTCTCAATCATTAACTCTGACATATTAATATGTATATATTTTTTGCTTCGAGTCATTGATATAATAATTTTGTTTTAAAAAATTTGTTTTAAATTTCTTTTTAAATTAATTTCGTTCAAATTATTTTTAAATTTAGTAGTGTTCTATAAATTATTTCCCTCTAAGGTCTTTTTTAAAAAAGATAATTTGAGTCATCAATACTTGTCAACGGTTCATTCATTAAATGTTGTTTTCAAATAATGTATTTTTATTAATTTAATTAAATTTAACTAATTTTATAATTTCAATTTTATTTTTAATCTGTTTAAATCAAGGCATCCACATTTTCGTCCCCAGAGCGATCAACAACACCAAACATTCCATACAAAACCTTTCCCGCACCAGATCCACGTCAAAAGGGAATCGATATACCAACAAAGTTAAATCCAGACATTTATCATAAGCATGCTGCCAGCTCCACGCATTTTTATATTTATTATTATTAAAAGAAAAATTAATTTATTAAAAAAACTTTTTTTTAATTTATTTTTCGTCTGCTCATTTCGGCATATGTATTTGAACAACATGCGCTTGCGATAATTTCTTTTATAGCCTTCTATATGTAATATAATGGTGGAGGTGATCCAGCTTTACTCGATCTATATACTCTTTGCAATTATTTATAGTTATATACATACCTTCATACATATGTGTAATTATGTGTCCTATACATGTTAAATGTAATATGATTTTGTTTCTTGCAGGAGACAAATCTTTTATAAACAAATCTTAGTCAAAATTTATGGAATTTTATTAATAATTAGTCTAGAATATTTAAAATAATTATTGAATTGTTAAATTATTTTTAAATACATATTAATTCGTATAATTTTTAAAGGCAAATAGACTCAGACAATAGACTAACATTTAATTTAATATAGTTTTAAAAATATTTATGATAATCTGATAATATTTTATTTTTATCAATTCATTTTAATATGTTCGAACCATTGATTTATAAATTTTTTGTCTCTCAATAATACTATAATTATATACTAACATTTCATAAATATAAAACTTTAAAAATAATTTGTATGTATTTCTATTAAATTCATTTTATAGATATTAACCGAAATTAATAATTAATTAGTGAGTTAGAAAATTTTCCTTTTAAAAAGTTTTTTTTCATTTTTTAGTATAAATATTTTTAGTAAGCTATAATAACATCTGTTATGTAACTTTATACCAAAAAATTTTATTTTAAAAATTTAAAATTTTTAACCCAAATTTGAAATGTAACCCTATCGAAAGAGCCAGATTTCTTTTTTGCGGCACTACATTCTGATTTTTTACTTATAATTTTGAAAAGTAATTAGTAGCGCTCCATATTTGTTGTCCTTGTGTTGCTGTTGTGCTTTAACTCAAGGAATTTTAAACAATTTATAGACCAAATTTAAAATCTTAGTCAAAATTTGTGGAATTTTATTAATAATTATTCTAGAATATTTAAAATAATTATAGTTTTGTTAAATTAATTTTTAATATTAATTCTGATAATTTTAGAGTCAACAAGTCTTCTCAGGCAGTCTTCTCTCTCAACAAGACTTCTCGTCTCAATTAACATTTCTTAATTTTATTTAATTTTTTCTGGTATTAATTTATTAAATTACTGTCTCCCAATTTACCTTTTCTTAATTAATTACCAACATT